AAGAACATAATAAAGATTAATTTTATTCATTACTTGAAATTCCTTTCCAATTCTTTAACAAGTCTTTTTATATATTGTAATCATCAGCCACATCTTATTTTGTGTATTTAAAAAATTTAACATTTTACAAATACTTCCATATAGTAACAATGATCTACAAATATTTTATTTTACTAGTTACATGATATACCACTGTGTTAATAATGTTTGGTTAGTAATCTCTCCACTGTTGGACATACAGGCTTTTTCCAAATTTCCACTATTAGAGGTAGTGTGCTGAACACACCACTGTGTAAATTGCTTTTTTTGGGGAGAAGGGGGCATGAAATGAGGAAAATAAAAATTAAATTCCAAACAGGATTACAAGATCAAAGAGCAAGGCAGTTTTATAACTTTTTTTACATATTGACTATGATATTTACCCTAAGTGTTGAGTTATTTAACTGCCAAAAGATGTATAAGAAAAAAAAAAAGGTCTTATATTTTAAATTTTAGTTTCTCTATATTGATAAGACTATCATTTATAATTATATCATCCAGGCAAAGTTTCTTTTCTTATAAATAACATTTTTTTTTGCCAAATTATTCACTTTTCCTTATACCCAATTTCTATATGGATCTTTCCTTATTAAAGAAAAATAGGTTGAAATCTCTTTGAAAATCTAAATTAGGACATAAAACACAAGGAAATTAGGCAGATATGAGGAAAAAAAAGGTCACATGAAAAACTCAGAAATACAACACTTCTGTTATAAGCCTGGCAAAATTTTCCAATTTTGATTATTTAGAGAGCAATAATGTCTAATAAATTTCAAATACAACAGGATCAGGCAAATTTATCAGTATCTTAGTTCTATCTTTCTGGAAAACTAATACATTTCCTCAATTTAAAAAGATTTTTCAAATAATTAGGCAAAATGCAAATTTTATCTCTTGACTAAAACCACAAAAATAAAAATGTTATTGTGATTTCTCCTTTAGCTTACTCAAGAATCCTATGGTCTGAATGATAATGAGAAAGACAAAATTTAAAAACTGCCAAACTATATACTTCTATTTATCTCAACCAGATGTCTCACTTTAAACAAGTCTCAGGTAGATAATTAGGTATGACACTGCAGGATCTAAAGGATGTTGAGCCTTTTTTGAATAAGTCCCTAGAGGAAGTAATGGTACCAAGTGTGCCAGAACAAAGTCAAGAAAACTAAAGCATTTTTCTCTCCTTACATTATTAACTACAAATGGAATTAGTTTCCTTGCAAGAATAAGTAAACAATTTAGATTTTAAAAGACTGTAAATCTTCTAATACAATGAGTAGCTCAATGGCAAAACCTCTAAGAGGTTAGGAAAGCTTTTAGAATGACATGTTGACATGGGGTGAAGAAGTAGGATAATTCTTCCTTGTTGCTTTGGTAGGAAAAACTATCTGGAAAGGCCCTGCAGAGAAATCTTCTAAAGAAGTGAGGTGCTTGTATGAATGCATGTTAAATCCTCTATCACATAAATATTTCTGTCTTTAGCAGTGGCATTCATGACAACCAAATGTCTATATGGAATACATCCTCTTTGTTACTGGAGCCATTATCATACATATAAAAGTTGATGATGAGCAACAGAATTGCTTTGACTCTAAATAGTTTTGACAGTGATATCTTCTTCTGAAGATCAAAATTAATACTCTATTTGTCTGGCAATAGTAAAGGAAGCCCACGGGCAATGAATCAGTCAAAATGGCTATCACTATCACCAAGTTCATGCATTTAATTATTAAGAAATTATTAAGAAAGTCTCTCAGGTCCTTACTATGAGTCTAATTCTTATAAATATTGTTACTTGTTTTGTAATTCACAGTATATCAGCTAGGGCAAGTACATGGACAAACACAAACACAAAAAACAATAGGTTGACAATGAGAAGAGAGAACAAAAGCAAAGATACAAACACACACACCTTCAAAGGTCTTTTGGTAAATGTTTAATTAGAGTTACTGATATCAATACATTTTGGGATATCGGTATAATTATGGATGTTCATAATGATCCTTGAGTCATCAAAAAAAAAGGGTTAAAATTTTGTTCAATATAGTAAAAGGAGGCAGAGAAGTTTGTCATTAAATGATTAAATAAGAAATTTAAAAAAAGAAAGAGAAATTTACTCCTAAAGTTCAGGTTTCAGTTACCTAGAAAATTCAGTTAAGTGAAACACCTTATTCCCAAATGATGGCAGACAAATAAACTAGTATTTAATATTACTATAAACATCCAATAAAGTTAATTTCTACAACTAACATCATAATCAGTATTAGCTTCTGTAGAAAAATAAGGAATGATACTAAAATGTAAATATTTACTCTCTATTGCTACCATTATGTTTTGTGGCCATTATAAGCTGTTCATGAAAAAACCTTTTAGGCAGTTTAAAGGGAAACAGCTTGTATGTTAGTAGTCCCATTAAGATCATCTCTACTAAGTACAGTCCCAAGAATTTCTATTTCTTGAAGAGCAGAAAATATTTTAAAACTAATATGCGGGGCTCCTGGGTGGCTCAGTCAGCTGAGTGTCCAACTCCTGGTTTCAGCTCAGGACATGATCTCAGCATCCTGGGATCGAACCCTGTGTTGGGCTCTACACTCAGCACAGAGTCTGCTTGTCCCTCTCCGTCTGCTCCTCCACTCACTCGAGCTCTCTCTCTCAAATAAATAAAATCTTAAAAAGAAAAAACTAATATGTAAATTCTAGGAGTCATGGATAAGTTAAAAATTTAGAGTCACAAATTTAATCAATTAAACTCTGTGTGTAACCTAAAATTTTCTTATAAACATGCCTTCAAAGACTACAGTGTCAAGTATTTGTAATCTATGTTTTCTTTTACCTTTCTAATCGTTTCTGTAAAGGAAGGCAATATGCATATACCTTGTATCACTAACGGAAGTGAGGTGGAAGGCTTTACAGAAAAACTCTAGGATCCTTGAAGAAGTCTTTTTCTTTTACAATGCATGCTATAAGTGAGTACATTATGCATAAAACTATTTATTAAAAACAAATAAAACCCTAGGGGTGCTTGGGTGGCTCCAGTTGGTTAAGCGACTGCCTTCAGCTCAGGTCATGATCCTGGAGTCTCAGGATCAAGTCCTACATCGGGCTCCTGGCTCAGCGGGGAGCCTGCTTCTCCCTCTGACCCTCCCCCTTCTTGTGCTCGCTCTCTCTCATTCTCTCTCTCTCTCAAATAAATAAAATCTTTAAAAAAAATAAAAACAAATAAAACCCTAATTTATAATATGGGAACAAGTTAAGATGCATACGTTATGTTTAACTGCAGCATAAGAAGCAATTAGCAAATTTACTTAACAAAATTCTATTTAGAATCGTGAAGAACAGACAACTCATTAAAAATAAACAGCTTCTGCAAAAATTATAAATAACGCCCTTATTAAAAGACTATCCTTCCTATTAAAGGACAGAATCTGTCCTTTATGAGCATGTAACATCAAATATATATATATATACTTTAAAGATTTTATTTTATTTATTTGAGTGAGAGTGAGAGAGAGAGAGCGCATGAGAGGGGGAAGGGTAAGAAGCAGGCTCCCCACCGAGCAAGGAGCCCAATAACATCAAATATATTAAAAATAGCTTTGTTGAGGAGAAAATATTCTAATATAAATGTTTTTTGAGAAATACATCACAGAGGTAAATTTTAAAACAACACCTGGTGTTCCACATCAAGTAACTGCCCATATACCAAAGTGCGTATGTGTACACACACACACACAAACACAAATGTATACATACACACACACACACATATGTATATATGAATATATAAGAATCTAATAAGTCTAAACCATTTTTAATGGAAATATATCTAAAAATATAGTTTTCTACATTCTCGGATTGTATAGTTCAATATGTTTTCTTATTAATGATTATCACTATGAACATTATTCTATCTCTTAGATTATATCGATATTTTCAAGGATATCACATGAAATTTCTGAAATCCTTAAGGTTGTTTTACGCCTATATTAAATAACCTCAGAAGGTTGTACTTTTATGGCACTTAATTCTCTTCCCTTCAGAGTGCTACCAATATGTCTTTTCTTGACAGCATTTATATAAAATGACTACTACAAATTGGCTGATATGAGGCTTGCTGTATCACTATCCTTATTTTATACATAATTCTAGATTAATAGGTTCTGAGCAAAGACCTAAAACTAAGTGGCTTCACGGCATTCCTAAGGCATAAAACAAAGGGATTTAAAAAATAATGACTGATTTTCTTCAGTGCTTAAAATCTTCCCCATTTATTTACTGGTGTACCATTGTGTTTTGAATCTGTAATATCACTTAATGTCAGTTAAACAAGTATTACTGATTTAATAAATAACATAACTGAGCGTTTTAACAAGTGCTGAGTGAATAAATGTAATGCCTTTATACTCTATTCTCTCAAGAATAAAAAATGAAGGTAAAATTGTGAATTTAGAATATATAGTGAACGTTTAAAAAAGACCTTCAGCTGATAAAGATGTTTTAAAAAGACATACTGTTAAGCATGTATCAAAAACATCTGGGGCAGGACTAAACAATTTATATCTGTTATTTATGTCACAGTTAATTAAAATTTTTATTTTACTAAGCAATAAACTTCCATTAAAAGCATATAATTATTAATTAAGAATATCTGCAAGGTAAACATTACCCAAAAAACTACCAGTCAGAAAACACCCAACCAGTATATTGGGAAATACCTAAAACTATACCCGATATAAACCAGGCAAACAAAATTAATTTACTTGCCTTGGTAGCATTTTTGTCTATGAAAAATGAAAACTAGACCACACAGGATAAATAAAAGGAACAATGTTTCTATTTTTCATTGCAAATTTTTATGTAATCCAGGAGAACAAGATTTAAAAAAAAAAAAGCTTTAGAAAAAAGCAGGAATAAATTTTAATGCTGTCAATAATAGATAGAACTTTTGGATCAACACCTACCGATTTTTTTCTACTGTTTTCCAGATCTTTGAGTTCATTCTCGATTTTTGTGATTAATTCCCTGAGTTCATCAAGATTAGTGCAAATAAGCTAAAATAAAACACAAAAACACAGCTTGATAACACATAATATAAAACACCCAAAATGTGGTAACAGAAGTTGTTTTAACATACACTAAATTCACAATTATTTGTATTTGTAAGAGCAAAAAGCAAAGAAAGCCCCACAAGTTTATATTTTAAAAGATACTACATTTATAATGTATGAACTTCAGGCTTAGGATAAAAATAGCTGAAATTTCAACATTGGTGGTTTCATACCACACCTCCCTGTTCTCAGCTTGCTTTATAATCCAGGTACTTTCTTAACATTATTAACGTTCAGCCCAGAATGACAAAGATCTGGAAACTCACCCTAGATTTCACAGGTTACTAAATCACCTTTAAGAAACGCTTCAACAGGCAGTCTCCTAGTTGGTAAATAAATGCATCCCTGGAGAACTGTCATTATACCTTTGATTTGGTTTGCTAACTATATGATTAAACTAATCATATTGCTAAGAAAGAAGGATTTCCACTGTCTGTAATATAGTCAAAGAATAAATGAAATTAAGTACACATTCTTAATATGATCTTAGTAGTCTTTAATAAACCATCTTCACAGATAGCATCTATTTCCTTTCATAATTATGCAGTTCATTTTACTTCACTTTGGTAATGTTGGCAAATGGCCAAAATAACTGGGTTTTAGTTATGAATAATCAAACTAGTTTGTCTTAACTACTAAAGCTTTAAACAGTGAAGTGTCAGCAACAACAAAAATATTAATAACTACATTTTAGTTCTTATAAAATTATAGTTTTTCACAATATGTTGAACTTTTTTCCTAAAATAATTTAAGCTTATATTTTAAAAAATCTATAATGAAAAAGAAATGTTTCTAAAACAAAACTACAAGCACATTAAAGAGGAAGTTTTAGATTAATGAAAGTCTGGTAATGTTTATACTGTGATAATTAAAAAAAATACATTTATAAAGCTATTAATTCACCATAAGACTTTATCAGCCCATGTTTGTTACACTCATTAATCTTTGTGTAAGGGTATTGTTTTCCTAAAAGGCATATTTCTTGTAAAAGAAAACAAAAACAACAAAAGAAAAGGGGGTTACAACAAGATCATTCCTAGTGACTACTGTGACAAAAATGGGAAAGTAGGACCCCTTTAAATTTCCTTTATTAAGTTATACCATATGAAATCACTGCTATGCCTTTGATCTACATAAATGGCGATATGGTTCAATCTAATAGGCTAAGAAAAAATGATCACAGATATAATTAGTATTAACAATTATTAGAAATGTCTACATAACTTCAAACTCAAATAACTGACAATGCAGAGAGAATATGCATTTAAGTAACCCAAATTAAATAATTCCAGAGTAGAAAATAGTACATAATGATGTAGTAGGACAGTGCCGCTGATATTTATTATAAACTACACATTCCCATTTGCCAAATCTAGAGTTATGGAAGAAATGCTGATAGGCAGTGGACTGGACAACTATGTGAGTGCCTCTAGAACTTGGTAATGTCTTCAACTTCTATCTTATTGGCCCCATATCAGATTTTTAGTAAGTACTCAGCGGGAACTAAACTTCCATTGTATAATCTGCTATTTTGACCACTATGTCAAATTTGCCCCAGAACTTGCAGATGTTTACATGCCTTTTCACTGAAATTGGTGCACTAAATATCACAGCATAGACTTCTCATTTGCACATATGGCAAAGCTCAGAGGAATTTTCACTTGCATCTTAGATGTCTCATTATACAAGGAATAAGGGTACATTTTGCATATATAGTTTGTAGAAACTTACAGTAACAATGAAAACATACTGCAACTAGCTAGACACACTCTAAGACACTTAAAATCTTTCAATTCATGGGATCAATAAATATTTATATTCTATTTAAAGGAAGAGGTAACACAGTTCTGAAGTCAAACTCAATTATTTCCACAACTTAAGAGCTATATAAAACAGTACTTTGATGTGGCTTACCTAGTTAGTAAGTAAATCAGTGCTTCTCAAACTTTAATTTAATCTGCATAAGAATCACCTGGGAATCTTGTTAAAATGGAGTTTTTGATTTAGTAGGTCTGAGGTGGGACCTGAGATTCTGTATTTCTAACAAGTTCCCAGGTATGGGCTGCAGATCATACTTTTAAACAGTAAGGTACTAAATGATTATGAATTCCAAATCTACATGGCTCCAAAACATTCTGGTACTATGTAGCTAAGGAAGATGAAGATTCAAAAAGACTAATTTCCAAATAGGGGATAAAATGCTGAATTAAATGCACAATAAGATAAATATTCCTTAAATGACATGACTCTTAGACGTAAATTTTGTTGAATTTGAGGGTGAAATATTTTTAGCAATATTTACTTTGAATTTCTCTTAAAATGAATAGCTACATAACAATTTACAATCTCTTTCTATACTCTCCACAAATAGATATACCTAATACAGATAAATCAAAATACAGAGCCAAGTTAAGCTCTGAGAAAATTCTTGTATAGGAACATAATTCTAATTGTGTTACTAATATTGAAAGAGAAAACAATCTGATTCATGCCAATATACCCTCTATTCCTTCTCTTTTACATAGTAAGACATATGTGTGGCCTTTAAACTCGACTCAACTTGAAATGGTGCTTTTAAAAACAGAATCAATCCTATAATAAAGTTCAACTACATAAGGAGAACAGAAGCATTTTTTTTTTTAAACAAAGCAAAACACCTTATTAAAACCTCCTTCTCATTACCTTGAATTTGAAAAACATATCTGAGGCTCAGGGCCTAGAGGGGTGAAAAAGGAAAGCTACACAGCAGGTTGGATTACAGTTAGATCACACTGCTAACACTCATGAGAGAAGGTTTTCAGTCATACCGCAGAAATTACAAAAAGAGTTTTATCCCCCAGGAAAACCTCTTGAAGGCTTCACTCTCTCCCTCAAGTTAACATTTCACTTGAGGCAACCCATGACAGCGCCACAAAATCATAAATCTTAGAGCTGAAAAGGACTAAAAATATGTAATTTTTGGACTAAAAAGGTATCTCTCCAATTCATATACAAACTAATTAAAACTAACAGAGGTAAAGTAACCTAAGATGACACACTGGTAGAGGAGACCAGAGAACATAGGACTCATCCACCTCCTGATATATCATATTCTTTAAGGGGTCTTTCTAAACAAAACAAAAAAATCTAGTAACAATAGAACATGTATTATAGTTTCAGGATTTATTTTATACCTAAACTTTCATTTCTATTAAATGGTAAATATTAAAAGGCCCTCTCTTCAACTCATGAAGCAGGAATGTGTATAGAGGGAGAGGGAAGGTCCTGTTGAGATCAAAAGAATTCCATGACCACATCTCAGAAAAATTGCAAAATGAATCATTCCTTACTTTATCATTACTTCACACTATAAATTGCGCCCTTTGGGTTTATACTCAATAGATTTGAGAAACAATTACTTTATTTGTTCCAAAAAGGACATAAGGTAGCATACAAAACTAAAACAATATAGTAAATTACATTAAAAAGCAAAGAGAAAACAATGCAGAAGTCAAAATGAATTGCTCCAAACTGGATATCTCATTCATCACCATGCTAATACAACAAACCTATACTTTATTATAAAAATTGTAAGCAGAATATTAAATTCATGGCATAAATTCAAATTTCATATTGTATTTAAACTAAAATTATATTAACATCTTAAAACTATGAGGACAGGAAAATTCCTTCTCATTTCTTATGATCATCATACCAAGGAGAATGCTTCAATACCTGCAAATAGGATATCATGTGTGATGTGAAAAATAAGTCTGATTAACAAGATATATATATTTATTAACGAGTTATGTTTCTCTCAATGCACAATATTTAAAAATTGAAAGAAATTGAAAGAATTTTAAGAGGGAAGTAAAACCCATACTGTTAGAAATGAAAAAGCTGAAGCTAAAAATATTTACATTAAGAGGTAGCAATTCAAAATAATATAATCAAAAGGTCCTTAACACAGTGAAGCAGTTGAACTCCAACTTTAATTTTGGACTCAATTTGTTACACTGAGGGTCTCAATTTGTTACTTTATTTCATATCCTTTAGTTTCTCCACTGGTTAAATGGAGAAATACAGTTTTTTCAGAGGTATGTTAAGGATCTGTGAGTTTATACTGATGTTTGAAAACAATACTACTATGTAAGTCTTAGCAGCTGGATTCTGGATTTCTTCTGCAAAGCAGCCTTTAGAATAAGTCACAGGTATGCAACAGCAGCAAGAATGCATTATTTTCAAAGATCCTGGTTACCAATGAAAAGCAAAGTCATGGTAACTAAGGCTCTTACATTATTTTAAAAACTGATCTTACTGAGACTTAACACACTAAGTTTTAAAAATACTTTCTAAGACTGTTACAATTGTGTACAAAATGACAATTCACATAATACTAGATTTCTCTTTCAAATATTAAATTTTAAAAAAAGGTGTTCTGGCAAAAATTAAGTTTAAGAAAAATGATATTTATTTTTCAGTCTAACAGTCTTTCTTATATTACAAAACTGGTAAAAAATAATTTAGTCAATTTAACAAAGTCATAAGTAATTGTTAAATATGATATACAAGCTTAAATCACCAACATGCTAAATACTAAAAATAAAAATATTTCCTAATTTTTTTGCACCTATTGCTAAATAAAAAAATCTAAGTTCCCCTATATGCCAACTATATAACCACCATAACACTACACTAGGACTAAGCCTAAGTTTTCCCCCTGATTAATATAATGATGCAAATATTACTTGGTTTTTCACTTTTCAAATTATTGTAGGCTTAATCATGCTTTTAAGCCAGTTCTTAATCAATTTTCCTACTCATAACACTACTTATGTCTGAAGCATCCGGCATGCTTATTTGAAAAAAATAAGAATAAATAAAACAGTTAAGCTCTATCATTTAATCCTTACAACACCCTATGTGAAGTAGGTACTATTATTACCCGACTATACAGAGGAGGAATTGGAGGCACAAAGGGCTTAAGAATACAGTCAGTGGTAAAGCTGGCACTAGAACCAAAGTAGCTTGGTCCTAGAATCCATATGCTTAACCACTATGCACATTACTGGTACCCACCTAGACCCACTGAATCAAGGATGAAATCTTGGAAGATAAAACCCAGGAATTTTCCATTTTTAATAAAGGCATCACATTATTTTTATACTACCTAAAGTTTGAGAACCACTGACATAACTCTTGGAACAAGTGGCACAGATATGGTTACTCCCTTTACAATACACATACAAAAATAAATCCAATTCACCATTTGAGTATCTATAGTGTATACCTTAAATAAAGGTGGGATAATTATTTTCTAAACTGAGGTATAGATATTAGGTGTACATGTAAGTAAACACGGATTCCTCCTGAAGCCAATAGGCAGACAAGGTTAATTTCTAGCTTTAAAAAAAAGTCGGGGGCGCCTGGGTGGCTCAGTCATTAAGCATCTGCCTTCGGCTCAGGTCATGATTCCAGGGTCCTGGGATCAAGCCCTGCATCGGGCTCCTTGCTTGCCAGGAAGCCTGCTTCTCCCTCTCCCACTCCCCCTGCTTGTGTTCCTGCTCTTGCTGTCTCTCTCTCTCTGTCAAATAAATAAAATCTTTAAAAAATAATTAAAAAAAAAGCCAACAAAAACATTGCCACATTAAAAAGTAGTCGAGGTCAAAACAGGATTCCCTTTTTTTATTCATTGGGACTTAACAAAAAATAAACTTCACAATTTAATCCCTCAACACATTTCCCTCTTTGCATGTTTAAATCAATTTAAAGATGGACTAGTCCTTTGGCAAATAAGTCAGGTTTTGCAAAAGGGATCTAATATCTATCCACCAACAGCTTCATTATTTTCAGCAATGAGATATTTTAGAATAAATACTATGAAGAAAATCTTCCAGCTAAACTTTTCTATAAAGCATTTTTATTTCTAATACTAGAAATGTGATATTTAAGAACTTGGATAAAACGAATAATTTGCAGGGGTGCTTGCGTGGCTCAGTCGGTTAAGTGTCCGACTCTTGGTTTCAGCTCAGGTCATGATCTCAGGGTTGTGAGATCGAGCCCTACATCAGATTCCAAGCTGGGCATGGAAACTCTCTCTCCCTCTCCCTCTGCTCCTCCCCGCCTCTCTCTCTCCCTCTCTAAAAAAAAAGGAATAATTTGCAGAATCTGAGGTGCTAAATGACATATTGCTAGAGCAAAAGCAAAGGAAGGAAATAAACCTTGCTTCTTTATTATATAATAGTCAGTTTCTTACATGTGGGGGGGAACTTCCAAAGAATGAAAGAAACAAACTATATATAAAGTTATTTTGAAAGGTAAAACTATAGGTTTTGTCTGTAACAACAAAGTTTACTAGTGACTAATACTGTCTTATCTGCTGTTCTTTGCTTATTTGAAGCAAATGACCTATTTCCTGGGAGACAGCTGTCAGTTTTCTTTATGAGTAATACCATGTTATTCAAGTTATAAACTAGGCATAAGAACCACAGTTCTCATAAGCCTATTCCCCATCCTAGCCACCCCCCCCCACCACACACACATTCTAGGATACCTTAAGAACTAGGAAGGGGATTTTATTTATTTTAAACAGTTCAATTTGGCTAAATTCATACTTTCACCTTAAGTTTCTGAGAGTGGTAAGCAAACGGTCAGTAACTGATAAAGCATCACTTAGTACTGTGCCTTTCTAACTTTTTTGCTCATGACCCATGGTCAAAAATGTATTTTACACTGCATGCCAGTACAATCAACAAAAGATCAAAACCAAAGTTTCATGAGACAATATTATCCTTACTATATCTGACACACTCATAATTTCTTTTCTCTTTTAACTGTTAGCTTAAAAAAGGAATGCTGGTAATGTAATCCACTAGATTAATTTCATGCCTCACTAACGAATACCATTTGCCATTTTAAAAATACTGTCTATGCCACTTATTATATATGAAAGTTCATCTACTAAGATATGAATGGAGACAAATATCAACAGCAGGCCAGATATGTTCTGAGATTTACATTCCCGGGGAATTTTAAGGGATTTGAGGGGGAAAGTGAGTGGGAAAAATAGCAAAGGCTTTGATATCAGTGACAGAATGACAATATACTACTAAAGTACCTAATAAGAGGTATAAGCAATGATTAGAAAGTCCTCCAAGTAAAACAGTAAACACACATTTTCCACTAAATATCCTGTAACCAAGGTTATATTATATAAAATGATTTTGTAAAAGTGTTTGTAATTCATTCTAAGAATGTCATTAAAAATATTCTATCCTAAAATACTAAAAGAAAATATACCTATTTTCTTTCATAGCTCATTTAAAAATATTAAATTTACCAATTAGTAACTTCCATAAAAACACTTCCAAAAATAAGATTTTTATGAAAAATAGATGTGTCTACATTTTTGAATATATATATTAAACTCACATTATACATTATCAATATTTTCATAGTTATTACTCCTTTTATTTTCTTCTTGACTTGAGACTGACAAAAATTCATTTTAACATCACTTATTTTTTGGAAATTAAGTATTAGATTATTAAACTTTTGAAACTGGATTGGACACAATACAAAGAAATTTTTATAAAAGTGTCATTTGAAGAAAACACATCTTTTATAAAATAGAAAATAAAAGTATTATTTAAAGTGAGATTCTCTGCTTATTCTAGTACCAGCTACAAATGAAACACTCTTCACATAATATGGCAGTAAGTATACTTTTTTTTTTTGCAGAAATGTTTAAAGACCATTCAACTAAATGTTACTTGATACTCTCTCTGAAGTACTGTAGAAATACATTTCTAGAGTATTAAGTTACTTAATACTCTTTCTGAAGCCAACCTAATGTAAAAATACTCTCTCTGAACTCTAGCTAAGAGTTAAAAGATTTGTGTTTTAAGTCTACCATTTCTACAGTGCCCAAATAAATGAAAATAAATTGCTTATTTACAAATTATTTACAAATTATGATTTGTTCTTGGAAGACTTTCATGCACACACATACTTTCATATATTATGTTATATAAATATATTTACTAATATATAATATATATTCTATTAAACTACTTCTACAAAGCAGGATAGCATATTAAAAAAAGAGATTTTTGGCTATCAAAAGACAAAAACAAAGGGAAAAAATTTTGAAACATTAGATTCAATCTTAGCTATGCCTTGCACTTGAAGGGAAAAAAGTCACAGATGGCAACATTTCATTGAAAGTATGTGTGTTACAGTGGAATTTAGCCAATCTCTTGAGGAACAATATAAACACTAAAACAAATAAACTAAAAAATGTTGAGACAAAATTAAAACATTTACCTGGAATTCTGGTACAGTAGGTGACTTTGTGACAGTTTTCCTCTTCTTTGTGATTGCTTTTTTAGATATGGATTTTTTTCCTTTCAAGATTAAAAGAGAAAAGCTTCATAATACTGTTTATAGCACTTCATTAACAAAAACCAAATTACATAGAACCTTGAAAGTTAAAATATAACTAACAGATGGCTGCTAGTGAGTCAAATAAAAATGATGAATCAAAACAAACCCCAGTAAAAGCAAACATTAAACTATAACTACCTGTAACAGACATTATTAACAAACATGGGTTTCTTTATATATGAACCAAACTATCAAAATCTGCAATGAGTTGCACGGAATCAGAATTTATTATAATAAGATTTGGCAAAAAAAAAAAAAGTTACATTACTATTGCTCAGTTAAAATCTAATTCACAACTTAAAATGAGATTACATAAGAAAAAAAAATCTTACCTTTTAACAATGACTTCCATAGTCAGGAACTTGCATAAAACTATACTCTGAAGACTATGGTCTAAAGCCAGCCTAATGTAAAAATCCTCTCAGCAGCTTAGGAAACAAGGTTTTTCTATCCCTTTAGCTCTGCACTCACTTAATGGGCTGCCTCTGAAGTATTCAATAACCAGTTTTAAAACAAAGTAAAAATCTCCCTTTAAAAAGTACATCTAGTCATCTGTACAATCAGAAAACACTGAGGAAAATCCACATTCTTAAAGAAATCCAATTCATATCACATATTGAAGTATATCTATTCTGTGTATTTAACATGACAAAAGAGATACACACATGCACATAATCTCTATTTTTAAAAAGGAACATCTTAAAGCATATTTTGTTTCCACTTGTACTTAGCAAAATCAATTAATAAACTGGTTGTTAATTATTCAACTAACATGAGATACAGGGCACTGGACAATTTATGGGGACAACAAAGAATTATAAAATGGAAATCCTGTCCTCCTGGAGCTGGAAAATCTATGTAAGGAAATAAAAAATTAATCAGAAACACTTAAAAGTTAATTTTAGGTCACAATCATTACTAATCTAAAATCAGTTTAAAAGTTACTATTTTTTCAGAAGGGAAAATGAGTATACAATGTAACTCTGCTCAACATAATCCTTATTGCTCCTTTCTAAATATTTTCCTATACAGATATAATCTTCCATGCAGTCATTTGATTGCAACATTAGGCACAATTCCAATTAATTGTATTTTCTCCTGTATTCTTTTTTAACCATATCACGGAACTGTAATTTGATCATTTCTAACTTTTGACTCAATAAAAATGCATGTATACTATGCTTGAACTACTGCAAATTTTACATTGCTGAGGTTCACATGGATTTTACTGTCTTGTTCTAGTATCAACCTGCTGTCATTTGACATTTACTTTTAATTAAAATAACCTAACATATCCATATTCCTCATCACTGTTATTTGTTTCTGTGCTTACAGAGAATCTATACCACAACTAAACTTATACAAAAATAGGTAAGTGGGTGGTCTACTTAACCAATATTCAGGGAGAAATGATTAAATTCTTGGTATCCCTATAATATAGCTAGAGTAATTGATTTCTAAATTGGGTACAATAGGTACCTCTCAAGGGGTCTCATGAATTTGGACAGAAGAATGCTTTTCCTCTGTAAACTATCTTTACCATTTTTTAAAGTTCATAGGAAAAGATTTAATGGCCCTAAGTCTGGGAAAGCTATCAAAACAATTTGAAGGAGATGAAATCCTTCCTTATCCTCCTACCCACAGCACGGCTCTAATTAGCTTTTTAAAAATCACTTAATTTGGTATTCATAAGCACAACAGAGGTCACCCTTGATATTTCCAATAAATTTCACACTGTTGCCACATAGGCACTAAACTCAGGTACTAAATTTTCAGTTAACTCTAGAAGTCACTCTTATTTTAATGGATTAAGCAGCTGTAGTGGTTACTGGGTATTTCCTTTCACCATGCCATTAGGATACTTAAATGTGATTAAGTAAATGGAAGCAGTATTCTGTAGTGGTTTTAAGCTTGTTTTGGAACTAAACTACCTGGGTTTGAATACCAGTTTTAATCACCTACTAACTGCAAATTGCTTTCTTTCCTTGTGCAGTTTCTTTATCTATAAAACAGGGATAATGGTATTACCTAATTTCTTTGTGAAAATTAAAGAAATTAAAACATGTAAAGAAATTAGACTACTGTTAGGCACATGGTTAAGTGATCAGTGTTAACTGTTATTATTTCCCTTAGCTAAGCCATGATGATAAGTGTCTAAAATGAGTATTATCTTTTAACCTTCTTCAAATTCTTTTATTAACTTACTCCTTTTCTTAGTTCTTCTTGCCCATATGTCCTCTGTGCGACCACTCTACTTTGTAGGTATATTAGTATAAACACTTATCATACAGTATTATAATGATCTGTTTATGTTTCTCATTCTTACTAGCTGAATTGTTGACAACAGAAATCATATTATTCATTTTGTATTTACAGCATTTTTCATACAAAAGTTAGGAGAAATGATCCTTAAAGCGAAGAATCTTACTTTTCAAAGAAATTTCACCAGTCTGGAAATAGGAAAAGGAAAGCGGGTAATTACTTATAATTCTTAGGGTCCATCTGAGTCCATTTTTTTTTTAAATAAAGAAAACACTGACAACAACTTTAAATAATTTACACATTTTACCAAATAGTTTCACATGACCTAGGAATGGTAGTAAGCCCACTAACATTTATTGAGACTCTATTATATATCAGACATTTAGCAAGATAATTTATACAAATTACCTCAGTTAATCTCAAAACAACCCTCCAAGGTAGGCAATACCTCATTTTAATGTGGAATAACTGAAGATCAAAAAGATTACTTAACTTACTCAAGTGTTACACTGTAAGTAAGCACCATAACCAGGGATTCTAACTCCAAAGTCCAAATTCTTTCCATTATGTAATTCTACCTCTCAAAAATCATGGTTACCATTTATTGACTCCTACCACATGCCAGTCACCATGTTAAGTACTATGCATTTGGTATTCCAATTAATCTTTTAATGATTACAGCAAGGTAGGTATTACCTCGTTTTTCAGATAAACAGGATAGCAATACATAAAATAAATTGATCGAGGACTTGTAGCTAATATGCACTGAAACAGTTATTTGCACTAGATCTGTCACACTTCAAACCTATGCTCTTTTTTATGATAAAATATTGCATTCTTTCAAACCTTCTGCAGCAATGTAATCTGATTCTGATTGATTTCAGAGCATCCCTTTTGATTAGGATTAGAAGATTTGTATGTACTATTAATATCTTCAGTCTATACCCTCGGAAGAATTTGAACACAAATTTTCCTGTATTCTTCAGCAAAAATTGGCTCTTCCTTTTTATGATACTACTTTTAAAATGGAGCATTGGGATACTACAAAACCACACAGTCTTTATTTGGTAATTTGTTTTTGTTCCAGGGCAAGATATATACAGGGCAAGTTACATACTGCCCCCCAGTGGGCTTCTGTTCCTCTAACACATGCTTGATCATATTCCAGGTCTTTACCCCCACTGCCCTAAGTTACCTGCTCCCATAAAACAGAATACAATTCTCAGATCTAGGATTGTACTAAAGTCAGAAGTCACTTAAAGCATATGAAGAATTTCAACACAATTCTTGGGCCTAAAACATAGACATGGGCAAAAAGTTAGTGTCAACTTGTACCTGGAAAATAGATAAGGAAAACTTAATTTCTAAAACTTAGTAATTAGTGCAGCCTAAGGAAGCTTTTTTCAAACTATGTTGAGAACAGCTGTAGTAAAGGAAGCCCAACTTGAGAGAAAAACAATGTAACTAAAAATATATTTTACATTGTAACTTAGGCACAGAACTCTAGTCTTCCAGAGTGTGGAGATACACCTCTTAACTAGAAAAATAATGATTATCATCCCCAAACCAACTCCTCTTTAGTGAGTTTCTTATTCCTCATCTTTACCCTTCTCCTTAACCCGCTTTCCTTGCCTGTCTTCACTTTTGGCCCCTTGAACTATTCAGAGACTTCCATTTCAAACCCCCCTAGATCTGGCCTTCCCACGTTCAGAAATTATCCTAAGGGGCACCTGTGTCACTCAGTCAGTTAAACAACTAACTCTTGATTTCAGCTCAGGTCATGGTTTTGGGGTCATGAGATCGAACCCCGAGTTGGGCTCCACGCTAAGTGCAGAATCTGCTGGAGATTCTCTCCCTCTCCCCCCACCTAAAATAAATAAATAAATAAATCTTAAAAAAAATTAACCTAACACATTCACTACTTTCTCAAGTGCTTTCATTTTAGGAATCATAGCAAGTGAATGGATACTAAGACATTAATCACTGTTAAAAATAAAATGCCAAGGGCATTTGTATTATTAAATAGTGAATCTGGGAAGTATCTGGAATGTGAAGTCACAGAAATGGAGTCTAAATTTGACTTTTTATTTACTAAGTGTGCATGTCTTGAGCAAATATTTACATTCTTTACAAGTTTCAGTAGTGTTTTATCTCTAAGTAAGCAATTTGACCTTAACAAAACAACTGATTTTCCTTCTATTCTTGCTTATAAGCAAATTTCTCATCATACTAGTAATTTTTTTAACACTGTCATATAATCAGTAACGGCTATTTTTTTTCCTTTAGCTTAAATACTAAGTCAGTTGTCAAAATTTGCTAGTTATTGCAACAACTCTCTCGAAACATTATTTTCTTCTGTCAATGGGCTAGAAAAGTCATATAAGCATTCCTTATCTGGATTTAGAAATTTCCTCTTCCTAAACTTACCTTCAACCCCTTCATCTAAACCCTGCCGGTTTCTTTTTATATCTCTTTAATGGTGTTGTAACTACCCTGTAAGATCCTTTCTCCTAATCCTGCCACTTATTAGCTGTGTGACCTTGGGCAAGTTAACAAACCTCTCTGTGTCTCAGTTTTTTAAATCTATAAAATCCATATATTGGGGAACAATATCATTTACTGGACTTTTTATGGAAATTAAATGAGAAAATATGTATGAAGACTTAGAACAGTGCCTGGCATACACTTATTATGAGTA